CCTAAAGCCAAACCCCCAAACCCTCAACCATAATCCCCAAACCTTAGAGGAACCCCAAAAACCCAAACCCTAAACCCTAATCCCCATACCCTAAAACCGAAACCCAAACCCCCAAACCCTAAACCCTAATCCCCATACCCTAAAACCGAAACCCTAACCCCCAAACCCTAAACCCGAGTCGCCAAACCCCAAACCCTAAACCCTAATCCCCAAAACCCTCAACCAACCCTCATCCCCGAACCCCAAACCTTAAAGAATCCCCAAAAAACCCCTAACCCTAAAGCTCCCCCGCGCAAGCGTGGCCTTCAGCGAGTCGCAGGGCCAGGGTCGACTCCACCTCATGGACCTCGGCTTAGATACAGGATCCAAAGGACCCCTTTAATATAGGTACCCCTCGGGATTTAGGGCTTAGGGATCAGGGGAGTATAGGATCATTACTTGGACCTCGGCTTAGATAAATGGAAGGGCTTTAGGGTTTAGGTGTTATAGGGGTTCAGGGTTTGGGCTTTAGGGTTTCAGGGTTTTGGGGTTGAGGCTTTAGGTGGAGGTTATGGGAGAGTATAGGGTAGTTATGTAGGTTACTATTCGGGAGAGTATAAACCCTAAACCCTAAACCCTAAACCCTAAACCCTAAACCCTAAACCGTGGACCTCGGCTTTCCCCAAGGGTCCAAAGGACCCAGTAATATATGTCCCCCTATAGGCCTATAGGGTTTAAGGTTTAGGGTTTAGGGTTTATAAGGTTTAGCAAGGGTCCAAAGGACCCAATAATATAGGTACCCTTATAGGGTTTAGGGTTTAGGTGTTCAGGGTTTAGGTGTTCAAGGTTTATGGGTTCAGGGTTCAGGGTTTAGGTGTTAGGTGTTTAGGTGTTTAGGTGTTATAGGGTGTAGGAGTAAAGATTAAGGTTTTAGGTCTGAGGGTTTAGGATTGAAGGTTTAGGGTTTGGGGTTCAGGTTTTGTTGATGTGCCGTGACCCCTTCCCCATGTGCACACAGGTCGACGAACCCACCTGCATAGGGATGTGCACGAAAAAAACGGCAGTGGGTTCAGGGTTTGGGGCTTGGTGTTTAGGTTTTAGGTTTTAGGGTTTTGGGGCTTGGGGTTTGGGGCTTGGGGTTTGGAGTTCGGGGTTTGGGGCTTGGCGGTTGGGGTTTGCTATTCAGGTTTGGGGCCTGGGGTTTACGGTTTAGGGTTTAGGGCCTCGGCTTCTGCAGAAAATGGTATCCAAAACGGGCCCGGGTTAAGCAACTGGAGGGTTTCATAAGATCTTGGAAGGGGTTCCCTTTTAAAACTTTCAACAAAGGGGGCCCGAGACAAGGATATAGTTCAGACAAATCGAAATTCCTGATCGTAGAGGGTCCCAGCTGTCCTTATTTATGGCTTTCGGCAACCCAAATTGAACCCAAAGTCCGAAAACAAGGAGTATTTATAGACCTTAGGGGTAAGACTTTAAAGGGCCGGTATAGAAAAGCTGCCAGGGTTGAGAAGTTTTGGTGTGCTATCTGTGTCTGTCGGGTTAGTCAAACCCTAAACCCTAAACCCTAAACCCTCCTGTTCCCGGGTGTGGGGCTTCAAGGCTTGGGGTGGCTTATGACTGTCAGGTTGGGGTCTTGCTGTATAGGTTTTAGGGTTTTAGGGTTCAGGGTTGAGGGTTTTGGGTTCTAGGGTTTGGGGTACAGGTTTTAGGGGTTTGGGTTTAGGCTTTTAGGGTTTAGGGTTCAGGGCTTAAGGGCTTGCAAAATTCCGAACGCTCAATCCTAGACGCTAGTGAAACCCCGCACATGAAACGCAAAACCCGAGATATTAAGCCTTAAACACAAAACCCTACATAACACAAAACCTAAACCCCAAATAACAAATAACACTAAACCCTAAATCCAAGATAACTCTAAGTCCAAAACCACCCGAAATGACCCTATGACCCAAAACCAAAAAAACCCAACACCCCACAAACTAAACCGTAAACCCCCAAACCCTACACCCTCAACTCTAGTTCCCTCTGTCAACCCTCAACCCCAAAACCTAAACCCTAACCCCCCAGTTACCTAATTACTATATAGGGTACTAAAGCCCCTAAGTCCCGATATAGCAGGCACCTGGAGGGTTAGACTCCACACGCCATGATCTTCCATCCGAAGGGCCAACGTCTTCACTAGGCAGCGGTCCGCCAGCCTTCGCAGAGCAAAGTAGTAGTCGTAGTCCTCAAAGACGGTTTATGGTTCAGGGTGTAGTGTGTAGGGTTTAGGGTTCAAGGGTTAAGGGTTTGGGTTTAGGGTTTAGGGTTTAGGGTGCAGGGGTTTAGGGCTTCAGTTCTAGCAACTTTGGGTGTAAAGCTTCGGGGATTTGGGTTCAAGGTTCAGGGGCTCTGTTGCTTAGGCTCTCCGGATTATTGGGGTGAGAGGGTTTGGCTTTGGAGCTATGGGTAGGACTGGGGCTTTGCAGAGCCTCACCTGAAGGGGTTCCTTGAAAGGAGCCGATAAAGGAACCCTTAAAGGAATCCCGAAAACCCCTAAACCCAAAGCCCCAAACCCCAAATCCAAAACCCTGAACCCTAAACCTCAAGGGTTCCTTGAAAGGAGCCCTTAAAGGAACCCTTAAAGGAGCCCTTAAAGGAACCCTTTAAGGAGCCCGTAATGGAGACCTTACAGAAGCCCTTCAGGGTTCCTTGAAGGGTTACTTTAAGGATTTCAGCAGGGTTCCTTTAAGGTCTGTTTTCGAGGGTATTTCACAAAGACAAAGGTAAGGGCTTACTTATAGATCCTAAAACTCTACATCCTAAACCCTATCCCCTAAACACTGAACCTCAAACTAAACCCTCAACCCCAAAAGGGACAAACAGCCTGCTGTTTTAAAGAAACCGAGACAAGGAACCCTAGAAACATGGTGTATTGGCTGTATTAGGTTCAGGTAACCCCTCAAGAACAACACTTCAAGGAACCCTTAAAGGAACCCTTAAAGAAAATCCCTGAAAGGAATCCCGTAAAGAAATCCCTTAAAGGGAATCCCTCCAAGGAATCTCTTCAAGAAATCCCTTTTAAAGGAATCCCCTAAAGTCTCAAAAGACCCCAAACCCTAAACCCTAAATCCCAAACCCAAAACCCAAAACCCCAAACCCAAACCCCTAAGCCCAAAACCCTAAACCCAGAAACCCCTAAAACCTAAACCCTAAACCCTAAACCCTAAACCCTGTACCCTCAACCCT